CATTGCGACCTGTGTTTTACACCCGAGAAATCTTGCCAGAACTCTTTCAGTACCAATGATGGTGGGGGATTTCTTCTTTTCGATCAACGACGCCCTTTACGGGTTTTCTCCAATCGACCTCTCTCATTTCCCTTCTCACCGTCACCTTATAGTGCTATTTATGAGTTTTCACTAACAAGACTCTCTCGTTTTCAATTTCTCTGCTCACCGTTTACGTATGGTGCCCGTGGGTTTTCACTGATAAGACACTCTCATTTTATTTCTCTCATCTTGATTGCATTGGGTCCAAACAACTCCGTTCTCTGATTTTGAAAACCTTTCACCGAATGATCGGAAGGGCTTGAACAAGGTTAGGGTAAATAGAACTTGGGTTGAATTACAACTTTGGAACCATTTAGGCGTTGCCGAACCATTATCTGCCCCAGTTTTACTTTTGGGGAAAATTGGATTTTTGTTTTGGTGTGACTGAACCCCAGAGAGAGGCTGCCTACGTGTCCTTTCGGAATCAAGTCGAATGTAGTTCAGGAAAACATTTTGTTTTGTTGTTTTTGTTGTTTTTTCTTTTCTTTTTCTTTTCTTTTGTTTTGAATTTTTTTATTTACAAACATCTCAAGTTCCAAAGAGGGTAATGAAAGAATAGTAACCGACTTAAAGGGTTAGCAAAGGATTGGAGTGTTTGGGGTAGCGAGAAAGAAGACCTTCGTCATCCCAATCGGATAATGTCGTTGCTGCGGGAGGATTAGACATAGTACCTTTTGACTGCGTCTGCATTAACAGCTGTTTCGGGGTCATTCCCTTCGATGTCTCCCAGGTATAATGCCCCTTTTGGCAACAATTTTCTGATAATGTATGGGCCTTTCCAGTTAGGAGCAAACTTTCCTTTTGCTTCCTGATGATGGGGGAGAATACGCCTTAAAACGAGTTGCCCCACTTCAAAGTTTCTAGTCCGCACTTTCTAGTTGTAGGCACAGGCCATTCTTTGTTGATACAACTGGCCGTGGCAAACTGCGGCCAATCGTTTTTCATCAATCAGGGTTAACTGTTCCAGACGGGTTTTGACCCATTCACTGTCTTCAATTTCAGCTTCAACAATGATCCGAAGAGAAGGGATTTCAACTTCTACGGGTATCACGACTTCAGTGCCATAAACCAAAAGATGCGCACAGTAGTGCAGTATCTTAATAATGCAAACGACAACTTTTCATGCCGCTGCCTGGAACTTTGAATCATCTTTCTCAAAATCATTTTGATGTTCTTGTTTGTTGCTTCGACGGCACCATTGGCTTTGGGCCGATAAGGAGTAGAATTTCGATGCGTGATCTTAAACTGCTCACATATCTCCCTCATCAAGTGACTATTCAAGTTTGCAGCATTTTCTGTAATGATAGTTGTAGGGATACTGAAACGGCAAATGAGATTAGAATGCATAAAGTCTACCACAGCTTTCTTGGTGACAGATTTGAGAGTAATTACTTCAACCCACTTCGTGAAGTAGTCAATAGAGACCAATATGAATCTATGCCCATTTGAAGCTTTTGGCTTGATCGGCCCAATGACGTCCATGCCCCAGGCAACAAATGGCCAAGGTGCTGACATGGGATGCAGTTCTGTAGGTGGTGCATGAATCAGATCACCGTGCGCCTGGCACTGATGACATTTCCGGACGAAACTGAAGCAGTCTTTTTCCATAGTCATCCAGTAATAGCCTGCTCGGAGGATTTTCTTTGCCAAAACATACCCAATCATGTGGGATCCGCACACTCCTGCGTGCACTCATACATGATTCTTCCGGCTTCTTCAGCGTCAACACATCTTAACAAGGTGAGATCTGGAGTCCTTTTGTATAAGACCTCACCACTCAAAAAGAAACCACTTGCGATATGTCTGATGGTCCTCTTTTGGTCTCTACTAGCTTGTTCGAGATATTCTTTAGTTTTCAAAATCTCTTGATATCATGATACCATGGCTGAATATTTGGTTCTGCCTCAACAGTATTGCACTAACCGTGCCTTTCTCGGATATGGATTTCCAACGGGTCAATGTGGGCATTGCCCGGGTATGGCAACATCGAGGCCAAAGTAGCGAGCGCATCGGCCAATTCATTGTGACAACGAGGGATGTACCTGAACTCGATTGACTTGAAACGCCTGCTAAGATCTTCCACATGTTTCCTGTAGGGAATAAGCTTGACATCTCGAGTTTCCCATGCTCCCTGAGCTTGTCAGATAATAAAATTTGAATCTCCTATGATCAATAATTCTTCGACGTCTTGGTCGATTGCCATGTTCATACCCATAATGCAGGCTTCATACTCGGCAGTGTTGTTTGTGTAGAAAAAGCAAAGTCGGGCTGTGGCTGGATAATGCGAACAAGTGGGTGAGATCAAGATTGCCCCAATTCCAACACCTTTTGCGTTCATAGCTCCATCGAAGAACATTTTCCAAGCATTGGTGTCTTCTGATGTTATCTCAATTGAGTTTACCTTTTCATCCGGAAAGTAAGTACTCAAAGGTTGATATTCATCATCAACAGGGTTTTCGGCTAGGTGATCCGCTAAAGCTTGGGCTTTCATTGCCGTGCGGGTGACATAGACTATGTCGAACTCAGTGAGCGGGATCTGCCACTTTGCTAACCTCCCTGTGGGCATTGGTTTCTGGAATATGTATTTTAAAGGATCCAACCTGGTGATGAGATAAGTGGTGTAGGCCAACAGGTAATGCCTCAGCTTCTGAGCAACCCAAGTCAAAGCACAGCAAGTCCTTTCCAACAAGGTATATTTAGCTTCATAGCTTGTGAACTTTTTAATCAAATAGTAGATCGCCTGCTCTCTTTTCCCAGTCACGTCATGTTGTCCGAGGACAAAACCAAAAGAATTCTCCAAGACTGTCAAATACATAAACAAAGGCCTCCCCGGTTCAGGTGGGACCAAGACTGGCGGGTTCGACATGTAATATTTGATTTTGTCAAAAGCATCTTGACACTCATCCGTCCATTTGATTGCTGCATCTTTCTTTACCAACTTGAAGATGGGTTCACATGTGGAAGTCAACTGAGCTATGAATCGGCTAATGTAGTTCAACCTTCCCAGCAGGCTCATAACCTCTTTCTTGGTTCTTGGAGGGGGCAGATCTTGAATGGACTTTATCTTTGTTGGGTCAAACACGATGCCCCTGCGACTGACTCTAAATCCCAAGAGCTTGCCAGACGGAACCCCAAATGCACATTTGGCCGGATTTAGCTTCAAATCATATTTGCGCAGCCGCTCCAAGAATTTTCTTAGGTCCCAAACATGGTCGTCTTGGGTCCTGGATTTGATGATCGCATCATCCACATACACCTCTATCTCTTGGTGCATCATGTCATAAAAAATGGCAGTCATGGCCCTCGTATAGGTTGCCCCAGCGTACTTCAGACCAAAGGCATGACCCTGTAGCAATAAGTGCCCCAAGGTGAGGTGAAAGTGTCTTTTCCGCGTCCTCTTCATACATCAACACCTGGTGACATCCTGCATAACAATCTACGAAAGACTGTATCTCATGTTTGGCGCAGTTCAACAAGGAATGTGGATGTTCGGCAAAGGGAAGTTGTCCTTGGGACTTGCTTTGTTCAGATCTCTGTAATACACACACACTCGAGTTTTCCCGTCTTTCTTTGGCACTGGAACTACATTAGCTAACTATGTGGTGTATCGAACCACTCGAATCACCCCCGCTTTCAACTGTTTTGTGACTTCTTCCTTAATCTTGTCACTGATATCAGTTTTGAACTTTCTTTGCTTTTGCTAGACATGGGGATAATCGGGGTATGTTGGCAACTTGTGAATCACCAAATCGACACTTAGTCCTGGCATGTCATCATATGACCAAGCAAACACATCTTTGAATTAAAAGAATAGTTGGATCAACGCATCACGAGTTTTTTCATCTGTGTGAATACTTATCTTGGTTTCTTTGACTTCTTCAGTACAACCCAAATTAACCGGCTCGGTATCATTTAAGTTAGGCTTAGGTTTATTCTCAAATTGTTCCAATTCATGATTTATTTCCCTAAAATCCTCTTCCTCATCATATTCTGGTTCTTGGTTCATTATTTCACAATTAGACAACGTGATTGGATCTGGGCATGAAGTCCGCAAGCATGTCATGTTATTTAAAGCCCCATTATTAGAATTGAAAGAAGAAATAAGAAAAGTAACAAAAAATCAGAAAGAATAAAGAGAGATGAACGATGAAATATTGATTTCATTTCATTGAATTTTTAAGATAACAGGGTTTACATTGGAATTTAAAGACAAGAAACTAAAAGAAACATCCGAGTTACACCCTGAAATAACTCGTGATGTTGAAAAGGTGGCAGGACTAAGGACTACCGGGATTCCCGCCTGATTGGGAAAGGAGTAGCCTTCCAATTTTGCAGCTTGGCATTGGGTCCCATGTATAGCACCTCAGCGGTGCTCGAGCCTTCTCTCGGCTGAACCTTGTGGGTTCATACAGAATTTGCCTCATAGCCCCACAGATTTCTTCAATTTTCTCGGCCGTGAAGGCCTTATCTTCCTCTTCCTCATTGTACTTGGGCTTGACAAATGTTCTATAAAGATGCGGAATCGGCTAAGGAAAGACCCAACCATCATTCTTTCGTTTATCTGCCCATTTTTCATCAGCTGGCGTTGGTTGGAATCCTACCCTAAAGAACCTCTCGCTAGCAGCCAGAGTAATAGGTTCGGTGATTCCTCGCAGTGACGTCCCGAGCCCCTTCCCGGGTTTGTAACCATGCCTGATCATTTTCTTGGCAACCATAATTGACGCATTTGATAGAAAGGGTTGAGGACATGGGTTTCCTTCTTCACATTGGTCTGCGACCACCACTTCAAAAGCTTGATAAAATATATGCTCACTACCTTCTCTGGCTTCGAGACATGGGACTGATGGGTCCAGGTAAATCGACTGCACGTCCTCTCCATGGACAATAATCTCTTGATCCTCATGTTCAAATTTCACAATCTAGTGGAGAGTGGAAGGTACAGCCTCTGCTGCGTGAATCCAAGGTCTTCCCAAGAGGAAATTATAGGAAGTATCCATATCCTGGACCTGAAAGGTCACCTCGAAATCCACCGGACCAATAGTCAAAATCAGATCAATCTCACCTATGGTATCTCTTTTGATGCCATCAAAGGCACGCACACAGACGTTGTTGGGTCTGATTCTCTCAGTACCGATCTCCATTCTTTGCAGAGTTGAGAGAGGGCAAATATCTACCCCAGAACCACCATCTAGCATGACCCTTTTCACATAATATCCCTCGCTTTTAACTGCCAGATGAAGGGCTTTATTGTGGGCGGCTCCTTCCGGGGGCAAATCATTCTTGCTGAAAGAGATCTGATTGATTGCAAAAAACCATTCCGCCATCCTCTCCAACTGTTCCACAGTGGTGTCAATGGGTACATACGCTTCGTTGAGGGTTTTGATCAATACTTTCTGATGTTCAGTTAATTCATTAGCAGAGACAACAAAGATACCTGAGCAGGAGACTTCCGGAGCTGGTCAATTATCTCGTTGTCCGCCATTTTCATTTTTCGGAAGAATTCCTCTGCTTCTTCAGCACTCACTGGCTTTTTGAGTGGGAAACGCTTCTTCGTGGGATTATTCACTTCCTCCAGATTGAGGTATTTCTCAGCCGGATTATTTTCCTTTGATTCTCCTAAGACTTCTTTTCCTTTGTAGGTCACTACTGCCTTGTTGTAATTCCAGGGGACGGTAGTGGGATCTGTCATGGGCCTCTACGGTGCGCGGCCAATAACCACAGGCTCATTCAGCCTTGGTGAAATTACTGGCCCCCGCACCACGTAGGTCCCTTTAGGTACATACATTTTGGACCCCTTGTTTAACTCAAACCTTCTTGGAGGGCTCAATGACATCTGTTCTTTCTTGCGGCCCCGAGGAACATAGAGAATGGCATCTTTTGAGGGTGCTGCCCCAGTTCCGGTTTCCTTTTTCTTTTCTGTATTCTGAGGGGCGAGTTTACTCTTCTTCTCCCCTTTGTCCTGTTCTGCGGTAGCCCTTGGTTTCTTTTCCACATTGGCTATCGCAATGATAGCTTTTAGAGCTAGGTCAAACTCTCTATCTTCACAGATCATTCCAATAACCGGCCCGTTGTTGTGAGCCGGTAATGGATTGTTGGTTACATTAGGAACACCTTCGTCCTTTAGCACTATTCGCTTCTGTTCTATGAGGTTTTCCACAGCCCTTTTTAGGGTCCAACAGACATCTGTATCATGCCCTTCCGCCCCTGAGTGGTAAGCACATCGAGTACCGGCTCTGTAAGCGGGCGATGCTGGGTTTTGCCTGCTTTGGGGTACATGCTGCAACAAACCCATCTGGACAAGTTTGGGGAAAATGTTGGAATATGACTCACCAATGGGTGTGAATTTTTCCATCTTGGGTGGTTCCCGGGTACGGGCATTCTAGGGGAAGTTGTTCTGTGGAGGTGGGGGATTATACTGAGCTTGGTGAGGAGGTTGATTTCTAGGAAATGGAGCTTGGTTTTGGTGGAATTGTTGTTGTGGCCTAGCATATGGTTGTGCATTCATTACCGCATACGGCTGAGGAGCCATAGCATAGGCCGCATCTTGATGGGGATAATAATGTTGTGGGGTGTTTGCGGAGAAGTAATTTTTGGATGGACGGGGTTTTCTTACACTTGAAGTTGCCATTGCCGCTTCTTCCTTTTTCTTTCGGTTTGCTACACCTCCAGACCCGCCTTGAATTGCTTTGGAGGTAACCCTTATAGAAGACTGACTCAATATGCGCCCTATTTTTAACCCATTCTCGACCATTTCGCCAATTTGATGGCCTCGGCAAATGGTTTTCCCATCGCAGACATCATATTCTAAAAATAATCGGCCTCTTGGGCTTGAAGAAAGACACTGACCATCTCTGTTCCATCCATTGGAGGCTTAACTCTAGCGGCCTGCTCGCGCCATTTGACAGCATACTCTCGGAAGCTTTCTGAGGACTTTTTCTTTAGATTTGACAATGAGTTCCTGTCACGGGCAATGTCGTTGTTATACTAAAACTGCCTGACAAAATCCCGAGCCAGGTCATCCTAGATATGCCATCGAGATATATCCTGGTCCATGTACCATTCAAAAGCAATAACGACCAAGCTTTTACCAAAATAAGCCATGAGGAGCTCTTCTTTTCCACCTGCTCCCCGCAATTGGTTGCAATATCTCTTGAGGTGGGCTATGGGATCCCCATGCCCGTCATACTTTTCAAATTTTGGGGTTTTGAAACCCAAGGGTAGATGCACGTGTGGGAACATACACAGGTCAGCGTAGGATACGCTCTTTTGCCCGCTCAAACCTTGTATATTTTTTAGACTCTGCTCCATGCTCCTCATTTTCTGAGTAATTTCTTCCTGTTCAGGGTTCTTTGAGGTTGTCTCCTGCCTCGTGGTAAACTCGTACCGGGGTTGCTGAGGGTAGAAATTAGTAGTGAACTCGGTAGGTCCCGGTGGGAAAGATGGTACTTGAAAGGTGAAGGATGATGCATCAAAGTTTGGCCTTGGTAGAGTGGGTTGAGCCGTGGCTGAAGAAGGTGGCGCAGTGAATATATTGGAGGTTGTGCCTGACATCAACACCTGGGGGCAGACCTCAGAAGGTGTTCCAGCAAAGTGAGCCGAAATGGTAAGATATCCCAGCGGAGTATTCGGGTAACTTATAGGGACGTTGGAGGTGCCACTTGCCCTGGGAAGTAGCTCGGGGAATCCAGGGATCACACTTGGTGGTTCCCTACCATTAGACCAGGCGTCCCACATTTCCATCATGCGGAGACGCAGAATTCAGTATTCCTCTACAGCGGCCGATTCCGAAGTTGGGATGGCCGAAATCGGGCTATCCTCAGGGGTAGGAACCGTTGGTAGATGACCCTCAAATGACATTTCAACGCTGCCCTTTGACCTTGTGAAGTAAGGATGTGAAGCCAAAGTACCACAAAACCAACCACCTTACTATAGAGCCTGACTGGATACAAACAAAACAAACCGGTTAGTGCGCAACAATTAACACACATATGGAATCGCATGTTGGGGTGTGATGCACCTATATAGTTAAATGTGTTTCTACATGTTCTGCAATGGTTGCGTGTTTCATCCCGGCTTTCGTTTATTTCTCCAATTTTTCTTTCTTTCCACTTTGGCTATTTAATGCTTCTCCTCTTATTCCTATTTTCCTCTCTTTTCTTGCTTTTCGACCCCCCCCCCCCCCGCCCTCTTTTTTCGTTTTTCTTTTGGTTTTTCTTTGACTCTCTTTTTCTCTGTTTTTGGTTTTTATTTCGGTTCTTTCCTTCCATATTTCACTTTTATTTGAGTTATTTACAAAATCATGACCAGATCCGATGAGGATTGCCTACGTATCACGATGCCGCGTGAATCAGATCATTACGTTGTTCAAGAAAAATACGAAAAATAAGGAAACAATATTTTTTTGGAATTTTCAATTTTCATTAATAAAAATCCTAAACTTTTCTATTAGAAAAGACTCTAACATACTCATTTTGGAATTGTAACAACTACAAACAGACTCAAAACAACAACTGAATTACAGACTCGATAAATGAAAATCATGAATACATAAGCGCTTCGACTCTTAGGGCCCGTGGGACATCATTCGGTCTTGCCACGGGCCTCTGTGCAAGATCCCCTTGAATATGCTCCAGATCACTCATTATTTGGCGAACAAATGTCATAACCGCAGCAAAGAAAGTGGTTCAAGTCATGTCCTCACATTCTTGACACTTCACGACGATGTAGTCGGCAATGGCTCTAACCCTCTCTCGGATGACACCTTTTTCTTGGAGCAAACGCCCGATTTGCTGAGTCCAAGCTGCTAGCACCTGAGTGTCATGATGATTTTGACTCTGTAACTTTTGCATATCTTCCTCCATCTGGGACATTAGGGCATAGCAATGTTCCCTTTCAGCTTTGAAGCTCCTAGCTTTTTTAGCTATCTCATTTTCGAGGGTAGTGCTTTCTCTTCAAATCGGTGATTGTTCCCTCGTATTTTCTTTTCAACTGCCGCACATGCTATGCCCGTCCTTCTGCATTCTTTGTTAGCTGTGCTCGGGCATTTGCTAGACTAGCCTCAGATTTTTCTACGTCATCTTGACACTCAATTACTTTCTTTCTAAGACCACTCATAAGCCTTTCATCTGCTCGGCTTCATTCCAGGTTTTTAGCAGCTATTTTCATCTTTTGGATATGAGCTTTAAGGGCTTCGTTTTCCTAAGCTAGCTTCTTCTTTTCTCCTTCATTGGAAGCAGCTTGGACACCATTGTCATATTTGAGGTCCCTGATTTTTCCCACCAGTTTACTTATCTTGGCCCTATAGCTTGCCTCTTCCACCAACCAGTCCCGTTGCTCCCGTGAATCGTCAGTGAATTGCTGGAAGTGGGGCCTTTTAGCAGGTCTTTCGGGCTCTCGAGGGATTTAAAACCTTTTACCGAACCAAGTCATGTAATTAGGGTCTACCTCACCTTTAGGTAAATCCCGCACTAGAGTCTTAGGTTCTAGAAATCTGTATTAATTCCAAATTTTACGAACTTTTCCTTCTGGGAATACAACTTTTGGACCCAATTCGACGACTTGTTGGCTCAGATCTTCGTCATGGGGAATAGTTTGAAACCTGCCCAGTTGGCACAACACTCTGTGAGGAGCATACGGCTGGATGCTTCGGAGACCCATTAGGAGAAGATAGCACACTTCGGCTGACATGTAGATGACTTAAGTGACAGGAAGCCATCCGAAAGTCCACTCAATTTTGTTCGAAGTTAAAGAACTCAAGTGCGCATACCAAGCCTCTGTACCTTTTGGAAATTCAACACCCACTACTCGATTTTCATACTCTTCGATGCAAATTCAAATCAGTCATGCCGTAGTTCATATACCCGACACGGTGACAAAGATGTTCTTGTATCCACAGTTGTAGTAGCAGGTTACAACCCTGGAAGAACTGTCCCCCTTCGCGACAGATGGTTAAGGGTCGGTATATCTCAGCTAAAATCATTGGAACAAGAGTGCTATTAGCTCTCTTAATCATGACATCAACCATTCCCATGAGACCCAACTCTATGTTGCCATCTTTTCTCGGACAGATTATGACACCACAAAATGCTACTATAAAGGCCAAACCCCGCCGTGCCTCCCATTTATCTTTGTTTCCTGCATGGGTCAGACCAGTATCAGGTGCTTCAAAACCGTGAGGATTGCCATAGCGCTGGTACAAGAATTGGAAAGTCCAAAAACCTTCGGATAAATTCCTATCCTGAACCTCCCGACTGATGCTCAACAGATCTAGAAACTTGTGAGGAGACACTGTTCTTAGCGACACCGGGTACCGACTTGTAGGATTTCCACTAAGGCCAGCATAACCCGCAATTTCCTCTAGCGTGGGGGTGAGCTCAAAATCAGAAAAGTGAAACACATTCTGAGTCGGGTCCTAGAAAGGCATCAAGGCTTCAATCACGTCCAACCTCGGCTTGATTTTTAAAAGTCCCACGAGACCACCCAAAACTTTTACCACAGTCCCTGTGCTGACTTTTCCTAAGTCGTTCCACCACATATGGAGCTGTAAGGGGATTTCCTCAAGAGCTGCGAAGGGTTCATTTTCATTTGTGCTCATCCTGCACATTTATTAGGGTGATTGGTTAAAAAGATCATGATTCATTTTGACTCAAGAAAAAGCAATCGATTTTTTATTTTCAAAACCCGGTTTTGCAAATACGGCCCTTCAGCACTTCGGAAAAGAAGATTTTAGGGCTGTGTTTGCTAATCGGCCAAAAATTTGAAAAAGAGACCAAAAGTGGCTGTTCATCCAAAAACAGCCTTCCGGTGTCCTTTTGGGGACCATTGGCTATTTTAGACAAGAATGGCATCACCTTACTTATTTACGACAAAACGATAAATTTTTTTTGTTCTTTTTGGGTTATTTTTGCAAAAATGAAGTTGAACCCGATAGGGATTGCCTACGTATCCCACATTTGGTGAGAAACAAACTTGCGTAGTTTGGCCAGATTTGACATAATAAAAACAATACTAAATAATTTTTTTTTCTTCAAAAAAAACAAATTTTCTCTTTCCACTTTTTTTTCGAAATTTTGGCAGAGTTTCAGTACTTTTTGGACATTGGGTTTTTCAGAACAGGTAATTATCTCTCTAGCCCTCCAATTGATTTTCTTTATCCCAACTTTTCTCCTATTATTCATAAGCCGGTCAACATGCAAATTCGAAGCAAATAAATGCACAAGTAGCAAGCAGAATGCATCAGGATGGTCTTTTCCATTTTGGGTACACCTGTCCTAGACGGACCCAACCCCTGTG